CAAGTTCTCAGTAAACAGCCCCGGCTGGACTGGAACTTTCAATACTCCTGCCTCAGCCTCCCAGAGTTCTGGGATTTCAGGTGAGCCTCACCACCCAGGCAGTCATGCCATCAAGGACACTGCTTTCTCCTAGGGAATGACTACGACCGGGCCAGAAGATGGGCAGCACCCAGGCAGGCTGCCCAGAGTCTGCCAGTTTTCAGAAGCCCTGCAGACGCGTGGCCCAGGGCTGCTTGATGACAAGGAGGGAGTTCAGGGGACCTGTGGGGGTACCCTCAAAGTTCTGAAACAAGGGTCTTTGCACAGGGCCCCTTGGGAGGAAGCTGGAGAGGGCCTTGAAGGTGGGGTCCCAGGTTTGGGAGGCATTGCCCGGGACAACTTGACAGGACCCATACCAACAGGTGCTTAGCAGCTGGCAGGGTGCCGCCTCAGAATAGAGGCCCCTCCATTAGAGAGACCCCTTGGAAGCTATTGTCCCTCACCCCATGGTGACTGCCCCCACAGCTACCATCCCTGCTGAGACCCTCTGGCTGGGGTACAGCCAGAAGCCCAGAAAACCATCTCTGCCAGGATACATCAGCTGTCTGGCTCCAGGCCACAGTGCCGAAGCCACAGACGCTTTCCCCAGAACAGTGCTTGGGTCCACTCTACCTGAGACAGCGTGCGGACAGGGCCCGGGACCCCGAAACCCCTTGATATGACACCCATAAGCCCCTGGAGGCAAGGGGACTGACCCACTCCCACACTAGAGGGACAGAAGGTGGTGCCCACAGAAGCAAGACTCAGAGGGGCTGCCCCCGTGCACAGTGAGAAGGACCAGGGCACAGCCGCACGGGAGTAAGTGGCCAGCAAAAAGGCAGGGGCTGTGTATAGGTGAACTTGCACATGTTAGCACAGCCCAGAGCGTACTACCTTCACACGGGGTTTTTGTGTCACTTTCCTGCATCTGGAAATGAAGTACAGGAAGGTACAAATTTGGTGGTTTAAGTAGCATGAGCCAGGCATGGCAGGCACGGGCATGCCTGTAATCTTGGCACTCTGGGACGCTAAGGCAGGAGAATGATAAGTTCCAGCCCAGCCTGAGCAACTAAGCAATTTAGCAAGACCCTGTCTCAAAATTAAAAGTTTAAAAAAGAGAGGGGAATACTGAAGAGTTTCTCTGGTATGAAAAACTAAAAGTGTAAATAAGGATCAAAATGTATAATTGACAATGTGAAAAGGGTGGGGGCTAGGGATGTAGCTCGGCGTGAAGGCCCTGGGTTCACTTCCTACTAACAGAAAAAAAACAAAATTCATTGCTCTCTCACAGTCTGGAGGCTGGAAGTCTGCAGGCAAGGCATGGGCAGGGTGGCACTCCCCGCCAAGGTTCCCAGGGAGCATTTTCCCTGCCTCTCCCAGCTCCTGGGGCTCCAGGCGTCCCCCAGCTGGTGGCCCCACCGCTCCAGTCTCTGTGTCCATCTCCTCTGCTACTGCCTCTCCCCTTCTCTCCGAGGGCCACCCTGATCTCATAGCCTCTAACTAACCCTTCTCCCACGGAAGGTAGTGTACACAGGTCAAGGAGGTTAGGACCTGACAGTTTTGAATGAAGCAATCAGACCCGCGGCCAGGTGGCGCTGCTCGGAGAGGAAGGGTTTGGGCTGCTGCCTCGGCACTCTACCTGCTATCACGGACACCCTGCATGGAAGCTAGGAAGGGAGGACTCGCCAGTCTCCCCTTCCTTGCAGGCTCCTCTCTCCCCTGCACCCCCAGCCCCTGCAGAGCTCTGCCTCTCTGCTTCCAGCCCCTCGCCCACTCCCCTGGCAGTGAGGTCTACACAACAGCCATGACATAGCTGCAGAGCCCGTGTGTCACAGCACGGCGGCCACTGGCAGAAGAGCCACAATATTTGTTTTGGTTTGGTTTGGTTTGGTTTTTTGGTACCAGGGATCGAACTCAGGAAATTGAGCTTGCGAGGCAGGCGGCAGCACCACTGAGCCAAATCCCTGGCCAGAGCCACAAAATTAGGCTAAAGGCAAGCAAATAAATAATACAACGCGGGCCCGAGATTTAGCTCAGTGGCGCCGCCTCCTGCCTCGCAAGTTCAACGTCCTGAATTCAAGTCCTGGTACCAATAATAACAACAACAACAATAAAATACATCCAGGCTTCAAAGGGAGACACAAAACTCTGTATTTGCAGATGGTACAATCTTGTATACAGAAAGCCCTAAGGTGTACATAAGAAAGCCTAGTCAAGATAATAAACAAGTTTGGCCAAGTTACAGGTTACAAGATCAATTGCATAGCTAAGCAGTGAACAACCAAATGAAATTAAGAAGACATACAGCCAGGCATGGCGGTGCACACCTGTAATCCCAGCACTTGGGAGGCTGAGGCAAGAGGATCACCTCAAGTTCAAGGCTAGCCTGAGCTACATAGCAAGACCCTATCTCAAAAACAAAACAAAACAACAACCAAAAGCACATATCATTACACCTACCTCCTCCTTGCCAGGTGTGGTGGCGCATACCTGTGATCCCAGCCCTTGGGAGGCTGAGGCAGGAAGATTGCCATGAGTTTGAGGCCAGCCTGGGTTACATAGTGAATTCAAGACTATCCTGGACTGCACAGAGGAACTCTGCCTCAAAATAAAAACAAAAATAAAACACTTAGAAATAAATCTTTTAAAAGAAGGCCAAGATAGAGTCAATATATCATTGGGCCAGGGATTTAGCTCAGTGGCACCCTGCCTGCCTCACAAGTGCAAGGTCCTGAGTTCAAGCTCCGGTAGCAAAAAAAATTCCTAGGTAACAATATACTGTTGAAAGTTATGAAAGAAGATCTACCTAAATGAAAAGAAATCCCATATCCATGGATCAAAACACATACTACTGTTAGGATGGCAGTACTCCCTCACTTGATCAACAAATTCAGTTCAATCTCTGTCAAAATCTACCCAACATTTTACAGAAATGGATGAGCTTATGCTGGCTGAAATTCATATGGAAGTGCTTGAAACCCGAAGAGTCAAAACAACTTGAAAAAGAATAGCTGAAAGACTCAATGATTCTTGCTTCCAAACTTGCCCCAGAGTGACAGGACAGACATACTTCAGTGAGTCCAAGAAGAAACCCACATGTCTATGGTCAGCTGATTCTGCCAAGACCCAGGAACAGGAGGGAGGATCCACTCCTTAACAAACAGCTCGGGGGCGGGGGGGGGCAAATGAGCAGCCACGGAAGGAAGAACGTAGTCGGATCTATGCTCTACCTCATCCTGTGTCCAAAAATTGGATCGTGACCTATAGGTAGGGGCTGAAAATGTAAAACTCTCTGAAGAAAGTGGGTGTAACCCTTCATGACACTGGATGAGACCATGATTTCTCAGATATGATACCCAAAAGCACAAATGACAGAGAATACCAGTAAGTATGGGCTGGGATGTAGCTCAATGGTACCGCACCTGCCTTGCAAGCGCAAGGTCCTGAGTTTGATCCCCGGTGCCACAAAAAAAAAAAAGAAAGAAAGAAAGAAAGAAAGAAAGAAAGAAAGAAAGAAACGGGGGGGGGCAGAGGAGGCAGGGAGGGAGGAAAGAAGCCACTAAGTAACGATGCAACCCACAGAAGAGGAGAACTTAGCCACAAATCTCGCAGCTGATGATTGACTTGTAGATGGAATATATAAAGAGCCCTTACAACTCAATAATAAAAGACAGGTAGCCCAAGTAGAAACCAGCAAGGCTCTGAATAGGTATTTTTCCAAAGACACGCACAATCAGCCAAGGTAAATCTATGGACAGAAAGATGACAGGGAAGGGGGGAAGGGGAAATGAGGCTGAGAGCCACAGGGTTTCTCTGAGAGTGATAAAGGTACTGATAGTGGTGATGGTTGCACAACTGCGAATAGGCTAAAAACGATTGAATTGTTCAGGTATGATACGGGAACCACATATCAGTAAAAGTATTTTGAGATGAAACCAGATAGGAGTTGCTCAATTGTTGCTGTCCTGTGGTAACTCTGGCCCCCCAGGTGAAGGGGTTCCAGAGCACAGGCCACAGATTCCAGCGGCCCCAGTGGGTGAGATGTTACGATCGAATGAGCAGTGCCATCATCTCCTACACAAAGTAGGCCAAGTACGGTAACCTGTTCACGGGCCTGATACCAGAGATCCCGGAGGCCGAACCCCGAAAGCTGGAGAGGAGGGCCGGGGAGCCGAGGCTTCGAGGTCCCCGGCGGTCTTCCGCCCCGAGCCTGGTCCGGGGCTTTTCTCCTCCTCAGACCCAGCATCGCGAGGACCTTGGTCCCCATTCCTGTCCCCTTTCACCCCCACCACCACGGGCGGGAGTCCTGGGAGCCCCTCGCGCTGCCGCAGCCCGCCGCTAGGGGGCAGAGTCGTCTACACCAAAAGCCGCCCCTTGGAAGTGTGTGCGTGTGCGTGTGCGTGCGTGAGCAGGTGCGCGTGTGCACGCATGGTGGAGCGCGCTCGGCACTGGCTCGGGTGAGCATGCTGACTCACCGGAGCGTGGCTCCCTGCACGCGCGCACGCCACCTGCGGGGACCCC